GGGTGGCAAAGATATTGTGATTAGAAAATCATAGTTTGTGGCAAAATCTCAATTCCTTTGGTTCTCGAATGACTACTTTTATTCTATATGGGGTCTTTTTTCTCACATATATACCCTAATCCTTGTTTCTGATGTAAAGAGGGTCAAAACATTAGAAAACCGGTTTCTCTCAATTTGATGCAGCCAATGACCAAATTACTTCTAAAAAGTCACAAAAATTCTTTTGCTTACATCGATGGATTTTTTACTTTTAGAAACTTGTTGAAAGTGGTAAAATCCTTTTTTTGGGACACCCTTCCGAAGATGGGCATTTTCTTCATTTTATTCCTGCAATATATAACATAAGGAATTCTGAACCTGCAAACCTTCTTCAAAACAATACGAAGAGAAAGGTTTCTTGACGTTAAATAAATCCTGAAACTGTCCGGCATATAGTATCTGTGGTCTATGGGTTGATATAAAACTAAAGATATGGTTTTAAACTCCAGTTTTTAACTCATCCATCCTCTTAAGTACTTCAGTTCTCCATTTTTAACTCTTACAGGCCTCTCATGTGCTTCGGTATTCCATTTTTAAACTCTTCCAGTCTTTCAAGTCCTTTATTTCTCCAGTTTTAAACTCTTCCAGGCCTCCCATGTGCTTAGGTATTCAAGTGTTAAACTCTTCCAGTCTTTCAAGTCCTTTATTTCTCCAGTTTTAAACTCTTCCAGGTCTTTCAAGTGCTTTATTTCTCCAGTTTTAAACTCTTCTAGGTTTCTCAAGTCCTTTATTTCTCCAATTTTAAACTCTTTCAGGTTTCTCAAGTCCTTTATTTCTTCAGTTTTAAACTCTTCTAGGTTTCTCATGTGCTTCGGTACTCCAGTTTTAAACTCTTCCAGGCCTTTCAAATATACAGTTACTTGTTTTTACAACTAAAATTCCAAGATTTTTTAATCTAATTAATTAATCTAACATGGTATTTTAATAGTTTTTAGTTTTTAGCTTTAGTTTTAGTTTTAGTTTTTAGTTTTTAGTAAGCTTCTTAAATCCAAACCGAAGACAGTGAAAGAAGACATAAAAAAATTGATTGAAAAGAAGTCTAACGCTTCTAAAACAGTTGTTTCCTTTTTATTTATTTGGCATTTTTAAAATGAACTAGGACAAGTCCAACATTTGTTTGCCGAGGGGTTAGAGATGAGTACACTCCAGCCTGTAATAGAACCCGGAGACAAGCTAGATTAGGATCAGAGCAACCTATACTCTGACCGTAGGTATGTTGGGTTGGATCTAGTACTTGATATAGGACACATTCAAACCTGAATTTGCACAAGTGCATTCGGAAACCTGTATACACTGTATACACTGCAAAATGCACTCACTTTTAGAATTCTTAACAATCCTCGAGTCAGTTGGAATATTTTCGGTTCGTTTCCCAACATCTAGAGTTTCAAAGCGCTCCCCTGAGATAGGTAATAAAATTGGAAAATTAAATAATTAATAAAAGTTATCTTATTTCATTGATAAGTCCTTATTTCATGAAATCATTACAAGATAGTTAAATAAGATGATGCAAGAAGATCCTAAGTTAGAATGATTTATCTGAGAGGGGAACTGGTGATACCCAACCCATTACATAAGATTAGGGTTCGGCCCGATACCAGGATTCAGCCGAGATAAGGCTCCGACCATGACTTCACTGTTTAAAGAAAATTAGAGCTGATTGAGTTCTTGAAGTATATTCTATGCATCACTGGGTTCAGGATACTCTCTTTGTTTTTAAGAGTCATAATAAGATTGCAAAAACAATAAAACAACATTAAAACTAGGAGTTACAGGATGAAATGAGATTAAGGATACCTAAGTAGAGTTTTATTTCTCTGGTTCTGTAGTACTCAGGACATTGCTGGAGACAAAGAGCAATATTTTAATAACTCTGGGAGGGTTAAAAACAAGGAGAAAAACATTAGTTTTGGGATAATTTAAGGTTGTGATCTATATTAAAGAATTAAGGATATCTAGAACAAAAATCAAAATAAGGATACACATAAAGTGCAGGAGTAGGAGTAGGGAAAGATAGAGAAGATTAAGTAAGATTAAAGTGCAGGATTAGGAGTAGGAATATATAGAGAATATTAAGTAGGATTAAAGAGCAGGATTAGGAGTAGGGATATAAAGAGAAGATTAAGAGGGATAAAAGTGCAGCAGTAGGAGTAGGGATAGCTAGAAAGCAAGAAGTAGGGTTGTGAGTGCAGGAGTAGGAGTAGGGATAGATAGAGTTGATTAAGTATTTCTAAAGTGCAGGAGTAGGAGTAGGGATAGCTAGAAAGCAAGGAGTAGGGTTGTGAGTGCAGGAGTAGGAGTAGGGATAGTTAGAGTAGATTAAGTATTGTTAAAGTGCAGGAGTAGAAGTAGGGATACCTAGAAAGCAAGGAGTAGGGTTGGGAGTGGAAACAGCTATCTGTGACGCAACCCAGCGCGGCACAGTACGAGCTAAGACAGAATTTGCAGGGATTACTGCAGCCTGCAATCCACTGCAGTTGCCTTGCTGCATGTGTAGATATTGTAAGAATACTCTCTTCTCTCTCTCCGTCTTTAATCCTAGTCCTACGTTCCATAATTTCATCCAAACTCATTTTTCAAACCTGGAGTTTTCAGACTATAAGAAAAAAATTTCTAATAGTGAAAATGACGTGAGTTGTGTGATTCTGCCAGCATATCAGTTTTTAAACAAGTTTTGCACTAAATTTGCAGTTGAGCAGATCCAGTCCTAGTTGATACTTGTATATGTGATAATTATTTAACCCAGAGATACTCAACTATACTCAACCTTACATATTAAACTAGTGATATAAATGAATATTTACTCTGAATATAAATGAAATCAGTGAAATGAACAAAATGAAAAAATGATAACAAACTGTTTTGTTAAAAAGTTAAAGTGTCCAGAATATAGTTTATCCTGTAGTGTAAAGTAAGGACTATTCCAAGTATAAAATCCTACACACATCCTCTTCGTACATATCGATTTTTATATTTAATGTATTTTGCTTTCCATCCAGCTAAAGACAGTTGATACTTTGCCGTAGCATGGCAGGTTGAACTTACTTCTAACTCTGGTTGGTTTTTCTCCAATATGTTCTCCGAACCTGCTCTGGGAGGTGTGGAGGAGAGGTACGTGGAGAGGGACTATGGGTCCTACACCCACATGGAGAAGCAGAGAAACTATCATAACCATGATACAGAGGATAGGGAGGTAGGAAAATGTAGAGTCCGGGGAGGAGGGGGGGAGGAGAAGGGGGATTGATTCAAATCTGATATAATGACCATTAAGGTTTATTCTGAACACGTAGAATCCACTGCAGGTGCACTCTCATTCTATATTACTTTATCCAACTCTTTTATACTTCTCATATATCCCCTAAACCCATACATACACAAGCCAGAGGGATAGCTCTGCTAACCCCCTTCCCCCCCCCCCCCTACTTTAAATTAACAACTCATTCTGTCCACCTATGAATATTCAAACTCAAACTCTATTCAACAATTTCAATCATACTCAGCACCGTAATTATTATGATTTTTTAAGGTAATTATTTGTCTCAGCCCCCCCCTTCCATTCAAAAAAATTAAAACTACAATACTCTGTTATTCACAAAACACACATGCGTTTATTTTTATTATATTTCTACACATTGAACAATTAAAATCCAGTTTTTCTTATCTTGCAACATTTTCTTCATTGTCATTCAACTGAATTCATTTAATATCAATATTTTTATGAGAAATTAATCAGATCCAGTAAAAAGTCAGAAAAATGTTTCTATATATTTTATGATACTGTAAAAAAGATAATCAAGACCCCCCCCCTGAAATGTACATTATACAGTCTGGAACTAAGGCCAATGCCTGAGTAAGCTTATCAATTATAGCTTTTGATAAAGGAGTTGACTTGTATACCTTAATATCCTGAAACTATAAAACTCTAAAGGAATAAAAATGGTACATAAAAAAATATATATATATACTGTACACTGTACATAAACAGTATAGTGTACAGAGCCGGAAAGGTACTGAACAGTGAACACTAGTCTCATAGTCTAATTTTTTTATTGTTATATCATTGCAACCTGATGTATTAGACCTTTTTTGACTATAAATTCTGCTACCCCTCTCTGTTAAACCCAGTTATCTTTCGGTTAGTGTACTGCAGCTTTCGGTTAGTATACTGCAGATCACTGCATTACACTAACCGAAAGCTTAGTTTAGGGTGCTCCATAAAAAAACCTCAATGTTTGAAATATTAGAAGTTTACACTATAAGGTTGAAAAAAAAACGAAAAAAAAGCACAGTACGAATAGACGAAGTAGGAAACTAAAGATAAAAAATTAGTAATTTTACTATTTCAAAATATCAATACAATGAAGACTATTTCCGATTTCAAATTTTGATTTTTACCAAGCTTTCAAACAGCATGGATACCATAAACATATACATGGAATCAAAGAGAAGCTGTCAATAAACAGCTTCTCTGTTTTTAACTTGTAAACTTGTAATTCAAAAAATGCTTGTAAGAAATCAAAACTTAAATAGAAAAGTTCTCTTCATTATATTATTATAAACGCTGACCAGTGTAGTTTGGAATATTTTTATTTAATACTCTACAACAAGACACATTTCTAAGAAAAATACACCATGAACCCCAATATCTTTGTTTACATTTAAAGTGTACTGCAATTTCTGGAAGGAATGTAAACAACATCAGTGTTTGTTAAAATACCTCACAGAAACTGCAGTACAGTGCACTGTAAACAAAGATATGGATATTGCTTGTTTATGTTCTCTGGATATCTCATTGTTTAAAACACGAATCTGAAATTTGAAAGAGTAGAATATTTTCTCAGCTTCTGCTAATTTGAAGCCGCCTTCTGCCCTAGGAGTTACATGGGTGTAATCAGAAGTACAGGGGAGGGGGTAGGGGACCGGGGGCAGAGGAGATGGGGGGATGTATGGGAACTTGTGAATAAAAAGGGGGAATACTTTAAGTTTTAGTATTGTCTACACCACCCTGTCTAGTGTCTAAACCACCCTGTCTAGTGTCTAAACTACCCTGTCTAGTGTCTACACCACCCTGCCTAGTGTCTAAACTACCCTGTCGATATCTACCCGACGGTAGACAGACACAAGTGCATGTTTTCTATGCATAGTCTGGTATATACAGACAAGACTAGGTGCACTTACTGCAACCTGGAGATTTCAACTCAAACCCAACCTAACCCTGCAACCAGCCAACCTTGCAAACCTTTGCAAAACTGTCAATCTTGCACCGATGCAAACCTTCCAACCTTGCAAACCTTTCAACCTTGCAAACCTTCTCACTTTGCAAACCTTTCAACCTTGCAAACCTTCTCACTTTGCAAACCTTTTCTTTGTCAAACCTTCTCCGTGTCAAACCTATCTTTCCGAAACCTTCTATTTCAGAAAACCATGTTAAAATGCCAAACTTTCTATTTTAAAACTTTTCTTATTTGAGCCTTCTCTTTTGTCAATCCTTTGCTTTTTCAAACCTTCTCTTTTGTCAATCCTTCTCCTTTGTCAAATCTTCTCTTTTGTCAAACCTTCTCCTTAGTCAAACCTTCTCCTTTATCAAAACTTTTCCGTTGTCAAACCTTCTCCTTTATCAATCCTGCTCCTTATTCAAATTCTATCCTTTGCCATACCTTCTCATTTGCCCAGAATTCTTCTTTTCCAAACCTTTTTCTTTGCCAAACCTTCTCCTTTGCCCAATCTTCGCCTATGTCAACCATCTCCGTTGTCCAGCCCGCTTCTTGTCACAGCTTTCCATTTTGAAGATCTTAATTTCTTAAAACTTCTCCTCTGTCCAACCTTCCAACTTTTGTAAAACATCAAATTTGGAAACCTGACCCAATTTCCAAACCATTTTCTATAATTGTAAATCATTCATCCTTTCCAATCTTTCCCATTGCCTAACTTTTGGAAAAAATATTTTAAAAAGTGTAAAACTTTTAATTTCAAAATCTCCAAAATCTTTCAATTTTGCCAACCTTTAAACCTTTCCAAACTTCCAAACTTCTGTCGTTGCACATTTTCCATTCTTAAAGAAATTTAAATTCTTTGCTCAGTTTTTAACCTTCCACAACCTGTTTTCCTTACATCCATCCTTGCAAACTTATAGTTTTTTTTTTCTTAAAAGTTAATTTAGTTTTTAGTTGAAACATCCCTGGAATGCACTTGTTAATCTTTTTCCAAAGCTTTCTCTCAAACTACATTTCGCTTGCTCCCTTGGATTACATTTCTCCTTCTCTCTTGGATTATATTTCTCCTTCTCTCTTGGATTATATTCCTCCTTCTCTCTTGGATTATATTCCTCCTTATCTCTTGGATTATATTCAACCTTCCCTCTTGGATTATATTTCTCCTTCTCTCTTGGATTTCATTTCTCCTTCTCTCTTGAATTATATTCAACCTTCTCTCTCGGATTATATTTCTCCTTCTCTCTTGGATTATATTTCTCCTTCTCCCTTGGATTACATTTCTCCTTCTCTCTTGGATTATATTCCTCCTTCTCTCTTGGATTACATTCAACCTTCTCTCTTGGATTATATTTCTCCTTCTCTCTTGGATTATATTTCTCCTTCTCTCTTGGATTATATTTCTTCTTCTCTCTTGAATTATATTACTCCTTCTCTCTTGGATTATATTTCTCCTGCTCTCTTGGATTATATTTCTCCTGCTCTTCTGGATTATATTCCTCCTTCTCTCTTGGATTATATTTCTCCTGCTCTTCTGGATTATATTTCTCCTTCTCTCTTGGTTTATATTTCTCCTGCACTCTTGAATTATATTTCTCCTGCTCTCTTGAATTATATTTCTCCTTCTTTCTTGGTTTATATTTCTCCTGCACTCTTGAATTATATTTCTCCTTCTCTCTTGAATTATATTTCTCCTCATCTTCTGGAGTACATTTCTCCTTATCTTCTGGACTACATTTTTCCTTACCTTCTGGACTACATTTCTCCTTACCTTCTCGACTACATTTCTCCTTACCTTCTGGACTACATTTCTCCTTACCTTCTGGACTACATTTCTTCTTACCTTCTGGACTACATTTCTCCTTATCTTCTTTTTTCATGTCAAAAAACTAGATAATGTAGAACAGATTTGATAAATGAATTTGATATGGTTAGATTAAACACATTAGATAAATTGGTTAATAAACCCTTAGCTTTTCTAATACGATTAGTTTTAGTAACAGTATAATTGAAGAACGTAGGGCATATTTCATTCGCAATTGCCGAGCATCGTAAAAATGCATTTTTGCACGTTTCTGCAGTATTCTCGAAGACAAAGAATTCAACTATACTACTGCAACTATTATCCTTCAGAGGTATAACAATGAGAGGTATCTTTGATTGCATTCCTGCTCTAAATTCTACTCAGGACCTTTAATCAAGGGACGCCTTTATTAAATCAAGGTATCAAGGATTTTAGGACTTATACAAACGTTTTTGTTTGTTTTACTAGTACTACTAGTACTAGTACTACTACTACTACTACTAGTATACTACTACTAGTACTACTACTACTAGTACTACTACTAGTACTACTACTACCACTAGTACTACTACTACTAGTACTACTACTAGTACTACTACCTTCGTGTATTAAAAGATGATAAAAATAATTTCAGAAATTTTGATGGATTTCAAACATTTAAAAAAAATTTTTTGTAAATTTTCGTCCCCCTCGCCTTAGAAAACCTGAAGTTGCGCCTATGCAACTAGGCCTGACAAGAAGCGGCCTGATTCTCCGAAATTATAATAACCGAGGGTATTCCTCAGGCGATTCCTTTGCATTAACTACATGCAACAAGTAGTAAAGAAAATTAAAGGGGGAGTGTCATCAACGGGGAGGGGAG